CCGGTCAGGGGCATGTACGTTGGTTGCGGGCACATCCCTGATAGGGGGGGTGTAAGAGGCAGCTGGTCGATGTTTCTCTCTCATCGACGTTTCTAGCTCTTTATCTCTCTCCCTTCCTTTCTATGGAAAAATCAATAAAATATATTTAAAAAAAAAAAAAAAAAAGAGCGAACTGTGTTTTCCACACCCGGTGGGGAATCCGGGTACTCAGGCATCGTCCCAGCGTCAGCTGTGTGACTGTTTTGAAAGACGCGCAATCCTTTTAAATAAAACTCACCCGTCTGTTCACACGCAGCGGTAACTACTGACGGTGTTTGGGGATCTTTCTTCCCGGTAACTTTTGTTTGTAATTTTGTATTATAGTTAAGTTTTGCACCTAGACTGTAGAATGTGGTGTCACACTGTTTTGTAACTTCTTATCATGAGAACTTTACAGTATCTGAAATGTTCATCTCTAACATAGTACTTAGTGACTTTTAACAGTAAGTGCATTGCAGAACTGTACTATCTTTTGTTTCACCAATCCCCTATTAAATTGCCATTTAAGCTAATTCCAGTGGTAGGTTTGGTGTGGGGTGTGTGTGTGTGTGTGTGTTGGGGGGAGGGTGTTGTTGTTGTTTTAGCTAATACCACTGTAAATGGGATGAACATTCTTTGTGTGTAAATCTTTTTGCACGTGTCTATTTTCTAAGAGCTAATTCTCAGACCTGGAATTGTTGTTCAGAAAATATTTCAGCTTTCTTTCGAGAAGCCTTTTGCCTCTACGTTCCTGTGCAGACTGTGAATGCCTGCCCTTCATTCACACTTTTTCCATTTTTGTTTAATCTTTACCAATGTAATGGCTTTTTTAAATACGTCTTTTAATTTGCTCACTATAGCATATTTATTGTCCATTTGTACTTTTTCTTTTGTGACTTCTCTTTTAGCATCCTTTGCTGTGGATATTTTCTTAGGTTTTGTCTCAGTGTCTCCTTCCAGCAATTATCCAGTCTCCACCCACCCCCACCCTTTGGTTTGCCCTCCCTTCACTTCCTCCTCTTCATCACTAACATACAGGAGTTGCTGTTTATTTAAATAAATTCTAGTGGTGGGGCAGATTCAACTTCTCTTTGATGTTCCCTTTCATCAGTAATTTGTGCTACGACTCACACTTGCATCTATGAAGCCCCTCCTGGCAATCAACTTCCCTATTTATAACAATTTCATTTCCTGTATGAATTTTTATTAATTCGTATCTTAAAATGTGGCTTGTCACACACACACTCACAAGCACACAGGGAAAGAAATCCTCCTTTTTCATAGCATTAACCAACTTGGGAACTGAATTTAAAATATCAGGTATATCAGTGGGTCTCATGGATAAATGCAGAAATATAGCTCCTTGACCAAAGAGTTTCTTGATCATAAAATTAAGAACTTAGAATATGAAGTAGAAGGAACACTAGAGTACAGATTTGGTGGCCTGGCTTCCAGTTCTAATTTTTGTAGCTAGAAGTGTAACTACAAGCAAACTAGTATGTAAAAGAAGGAGGTTGGGTTAGGCAGAGGGAAGCAGTAGCTGAATCCCCTAACTGCATGCTGACCTACACAGCTGCCTTCCCCACTCAGCCACCTCCACCACACAGTTCTGGGCACTGCTCCCTTCCATGGCCCCTCCAGGTGCAGGAGTGGAAACAGCACTCTGCTGTTACCCTGTTTCCCCGAATATAAGACAGTGTCTTATATTAATTTTTGCTCCCAAAGATGCGCTAGGTCTTATTTTCAGGGGATGGCTTATTTTTCCATGAAGAATACGGTACACATTTATTGTTAAATGAAACTAAAGGAAATTTATTACCTGTATACGGTATGGTATAGTACGGTAGTTGTCAACTCAAACCAGACAAACTGAATCCTACAGCATCAGGAATTTACTCATTTATTCAGTGACAATCATGTCATCATCTTCTGGAACATCATCGTAACAATCCAATTCCTGAATTTCCTGGTGAATTTCTTGTGAATCCATTTCTTTCAGAATCAGTGGGACCAAATCTCTCATGTTTAGCCTGGGGGGGGGGGGGGGGGGGGGGCCTTATTTTCGGGGGATGCCTTATATTTCACTCAGGAGGAAACCTGTAAGTAGGTCTTATTTTCGGAGGATGTCTTATTTTCGGGAAAACACGGGTATGTGCCCAGCGCCAGTGGCTGCTCCCAGCCCCGGGCATCCTTGTCCAAAAGGGCTGACCCACACCGTTTCCGTTCCTCCCGCTGCCCTTCTCCTATTTTCTTTCTGTTTTTCTGTGTTCGATCTTTATTTCTTTGTTTGGATGGGGATGTCAATATGTCTACTCGTTTTTCTTTTATCTATATTGAGGTTGACCTTGGTTAATGAGATTATATGGGTTTCAAGTGTACATTTCCTTGACACATAATCATATATTGCATTGTGTGTCCACCCTTCAAAATCAGATTATCTCCCATTACCATATATTCAGCCCTCTTCACACTTGGCTGGTACCTCATACTCACTTTGACCTTGATTGTTTTATATTATTGTGTGTATGCTGTTTGGCCTCTCTGCATCTCGTTGCTTCATCATATATAAAAATTTCTTTATAGTAATTTAAGGTCTCATTCATCTCTATTTTCTTATTCTAAAAGAAAGAATTTATCTCTTTTTTTTTTTAATATATTTTATTGATTTTTTTCAGAGGAATGGAGAGGAATAAAGAGTTAGAAACATCGATGAGAGAGAAACATCGACCAGCTGCCTCCTGCACACCCCCTATTGGGGATGTGCCCGCAACCAAGATACATGCCCTTGACTGGAATCGAATCTGGGACCTTTCAGTCCACAGGCTGATGCTCTATCCACTGAACAAAACTAGTTAGGGCAACATGCACTTTCTATGTGCTTTCCTATGAACACCTTGCTTCTCAAAGTAGACATTGGAAAGCTCCAGATAAGAAACAGATTTACATAACTTTAAAAAATTAATTGTTGAGAGAGAGAGAAACATCGATTAGTTGCCTGACACATTCACCCCCAGTGGGGATCTAACCCACAACCCAGGTATATGCCCTGACCATGTGTATGGATGATGCTCCAACTCACTGAATCACACCCACCAGGGCTGCGTAACTTTTCTTACCACTCACATCAACCTAGATTTCTCTCAGGAGATCACTGAGAAGAAAACCTTTTTGTTAGTTAATCTCGAAGGCACAAACTAATAAGAGATGCTTCTCATGCTCGTTATCACTCTGGCTTCTGTTGCCCATAACACTCGGTGGCCACTTGTGAGCTGTGTAATGGGGCAAAGTGGATTAATAAGGCTGGGAATTGGCTTAGGAAGTGCAAGAAGGCTTGTTAAAGTGCTTATGGTTTGGGGTTCTGGTTTGGGGTTCTCTCTGCAACTATTATTCCAAGGGAAAATTAAGGGCGATTGTAACAACACATACTGATGACATTCAGCCTCCTGTACACACACACACACACACACACACACACACTTATGAACAATTGCATTCTTGTGATAAAAATCCCACTTGTCGCCGAAACCGGTTTGGCTCAGTGGTAGAGCGTTGGTCTGCAGACTGAAAGGTCCCAGGTTCGATTCTGGTCAAGGGCATGTACGTTGGTTTCGAGCACATCCCCGGTAGAGGGTGTGCAAGAGGCAGCTGGTTGTTGTTTCTCTCTCATCATCGACGTTTCTAGCTCTCTATCTCTTTCCCTTTCTCTCTGTAAAAAAATTGATAAAATATATATATATTTTTTAATCCTACTTGTCAGTGACAGTGAAATGAAATTCTCCTGCAGTGGAAACACGGAGTTATGAATGTCACAGCTTCAGTGGCTCCATCTTCTGGGTGTGGGATCTTCTCCCTCTCAGAGGAGCATCTGTGGAATCTGTCTCCCATTCTTCGGCACAAAGAGCTGGCTTTGTCCAGAGGAATGAAAATCAGGTAGGCAGACTGAGGAGCAGGGGCAGAGTAAGCAATCGGAGACTTGGTCCATTTTGAGAGGAAATGCAGGAATCTCAATTTACCAGCTATGGACAGTTCTCAGGGCTTCCATGAGTTCGATTCTTGCTGGTTCTTTCCAGCACTCTGTGGAGATTTCTCTCTCATGTCACATACCCCCAATTTTGAAATCCAAAATGTCCCATTCTTTGTTATTTGGGGGACACCAAGAAATAGTCCTTAAATGCACACAAAGGAACATACACACAGTCTAATCAATGGAAGAGCAACCATTTTGATAACACAATGATAGAATTAAAAAATCAGAATAAAGAGATAAATTCTGCCAAAACCGGTTTGGCTCAGTGGATAGAGCATCAGCCTGTGGACTGAAAGGTCCCAGGTTTGATTCCAGTCAAGGGCGTGTACCTTGGTTGCAGGCACATTCCCAGTAGGAGGTGTGCAGGAAGCAGCTGATCGATGTTTCTAGCTCTCTATCCCTCTCCCTTCCTCTCTGTAAAAAATTAATAAAATATACTAAAAAAGAAAGTGCATACTGTTACCCGTAGCACAGACCAGGCATTGCACGTGGGGAGAAATAGGGCAGCGGGGATAGGCCAGTTCAGGGGAACAGAGAGAGGGAGACTTTTCACACTATATCTTTCTATATTGTTGCTTTTTAAACTGGTAGACTTATTTGTCACCTGATTGTGCATTGGCTGTGTTCCTTTTACTTTTTTTGATTCTGTGTTTTGATACTGTGTTCCTTTGGGGGGGGGGGGGAGGAAACATGCATACAGTGTATCCCCCGAAAATGTAACACTGCAATAGTGTTACACTGTAACAGCTGATGCTCAATTTTGAAAATGAAGTGTATTATAATAAACACTGCCTTTATAATTATTCAAAGTGTGTGTATATTTTGGAGGGCCTATATTACCTATTCTAAAAATTAATTTTTTTTAAAAAATGAGAATTTATGCCCTTAATCTGCCTTTAAACATTGCAACTTTATTTCAGGACTGACAATGAGGGATTAATTGGATTATTTCAAGATGAGCTTTCTGTTGCCCAAGCTGACCAGCAAAAAAGAGGTCGACCAGGCAATAAAGAGCACTGCAGAGAAGGTGTTGGTTCTCAGGTTTGGGAGAGACGAGGATCCTGTCTGCCTGCAACTAGATGATATTGTAAGTAAATATTTAAAATAAATTGTTGGGTTTGTTTTCCTAATCTATACATTCTTACTTCAATATCTGCAAAGTACATGTGGGGACGTAGGCAGGGTCTGGAATATAGCTGTTCAGTGTGAGTAGGCTTTCACTAAGCTGAACCCCTAAATCTATGATTGTGCCTGATCTGTGCCGATGTTCTTCCCCACGAGCAGCTGTCCAAGCTCCACTTCACCAAAGAGACAGTGAAAGAGCAGAAATATTATGAACAAGCTTCTGTGAACATTATCTCACAACACTGGTTTCATTACGACTGCTGTTCCCAAGGGGAGACATGAATGCCGGAGAGGTCAGGTGACTTCCCACAGGCACAGAACCGCTAAGTTGCAGAGCTGGGATTGGAACTTAGTTTTCTCTCCTGCAAACCTGCTTTACTAGTGTGCTGCCCCCGTGTGCGCCCGATGATGACCTCTGACTTCACAACCCGTCTTCACACTCTGGTGAATAGCAAGGGCAGTTTGGGACCCAGAAGGTTTATTTTTGTGTCTGTTTATTATGGAGAGAGACTTCCTCCAGAACTAAGACCTCTATTCTATTGCTGATGTCACTGTTATGTCACTGTTACATTTATTATGGAGAGACCCCTACCCCATTACTTCTATTGCTGACATCACTATATGGATGGAGTGTAAGAATCCTCATTTTCACGATTAAATATGAGTATGTGATGTGTTACTCTGTGGGGTAAGGACCAGAGTATTATACCTCAGCTGTAGGAGGAAGGTCTACCGCTAGAGGTCAAGAGCACAGACTCTGAAGCCAAGCTGCCTCAGTTCAAATCCACACCTGCCTGCCTCCTAGCTGTGTGTCCAGGAACAAATTACCTCCCTCTGCCTCAGTTTCCTCACCTATGAAATGGGGACTGTTACAGTGCGTACCTCATAGGAATGTTATAGGATTAAATGAGTTAAAAGTGGAAAGCAGTTAGGATAGCACATAATAGTGCCATGTAAGTGTTTGCTTTTATAGATAGGTAGGTAGGTAGGTAGGTAGGTAGGTAGGTAGATAGATAGATAGATAGATATAGATATAGATATAGATATAGATATAGATATAGATATAGATATAGATATAGATATAGATATAGATATAACTATCATTTATGTGGAGATTGTAAGGGAAAATGTTTGGGATAATTTCGATGTCTGTAATACATATTTATGAGTTGCTCTGTTTTTGCTTTCAGTGAGCATGGATTTTATAAATCCATAAAAAGTTCATAAAAACTTTACAACCAAAAGTAGAACAAAAATGAAGGAATATATTCGTATAATCTATCCAGGGCCCTCTGATAACTGCCAACAGTGACTCAGACTGAATGATGAAGTTACACTGTGCCCAATGTGGAACTCACACAGGCTAGATTCTTGGTCTGGGAGTTTTTCAAACAGAATATTCTACTGAAACTTGTAGAAGAAACATTGGTTTTGTGTTGCAACCTACATCTCTCTCCTCATTTGCAGCTTTCTAAGACCTCTTCTGACTTGAGTAAAATGGCTGCTATATACCTGGTGGATGTGGACCAAACTCCAGTTTATACACACTATTTTGACATCAGTTATATTCCATCTACTGTGTTTTTCTTCAATGGGCAGCATATGAAAGTGGATTATGGGTAAGTTAAGCTGACATGAAGCTGTAACGTCTAAAAGTTTCCTCTTTAGCAATTCCAGTATCTTACCTATTTGCATGCAGTGGTGGCAGGTGAGCCTCTTACTGATACTGTCTCTTCACCAGATACTCTCTCTAATGTTTTTATGTGCAACATGGGGCAAAATGAGTATTCTGGCATGATTGACAAGTTTTAATTTCCTATCTAAGTATGAAAGAAGAGTACAGGCTGGGAAGCACTAATCATCCTTCAGCCTAGAAAATATTGAACCATTTTCTTACAAGTTCCCCAGGGATTTCACTTAAAACAAAATATGTCATTTTAAACTTTGGGGAGAGATAGTTTGCATTTATAAAAGTACTCCTTTCAGCAAACTAAGACATGCTCCTCCTCTCTTGCCAAGTTTCCTGTCTTCTGCCAGGAAATAAGTTATTCTTTTGTTGAAGTTATTCTTCAACAAAGCCTGTCAAGTATAAGAAACATGAAGTCTTCTGTAATGCCTTCCACTCAGCCCAATCAGCATTCCAGTATTAATACTTATTTTGAAAATATCCCTAATTTTTACTTTTTCTTAATGTGGTTGAAATATCCTCTTGTCTAGACCTGTGTACCTTCTTTGTCATTATTAGTTTGAAAGTGTGTAAAATATTATGTGTTTTAAGTGTTCTAAAGGTATTTATTCTTCTAGAATATGGTTCATTTAAATATTAGTTTGCTGTAATCTTTTCAGAAGATGATTCATGACATTACATACCAAACACCTTACAAGCGTGTGAAAATTTTAATCCAGCAATTGCATTTCCAGGAATTTATATGAAGGAAAGTAATTCTGAAAGTGGGCAAAGTTGGCTCCATGGATACTTATTTCATCATTGTTTAGGAAGCAAAATATTTAGAACTTAGATATCCACAAAGGTCTACTAGATGCCAATTTACTCTGATGTTGTAGATCATGGTTAACTTTGAAAGAAACATGTTAGTTTTTAAAAATCACATTGCAAAATAGAATGTGTGATATAATTTCCATTACTGTGAGGGGGAGAAAAAGCACATAGAGACACAATATGATTGGAGGGATATATACCAAAATGTGGCAACTTTTTTTGTCTTAAAAAATTTCTGCAATGAACATACTTGATGTTCAAAATAGTGAAAAAGAAAAAAGGAAGAAGGGAAGAAAAATATTAACGCCCCTACTCAGAAATAGAAGTGACTGGAACTTGGAGATCATGACTAGGGCTTTGAACAGTGCTAGCCAAACACAACAACAGTGAAACAAACTATGCCCACATCAATACTCAGGGAATTCTACTTGAGAATGAGTTGAGAAATGATTAAAATATATTTTGAGCAGAAGCTTTTCATATGATAGAGCTTACATGCTATCCTGTGCCTACAACGCTGGTTTTAGTCGTATATCAAATGGGCCCTGTAATTGCAAGTGGAAAAGTCATTGTTGGGCCTTACATCTAAAGTCTGCCTTACAAAAAGAGCTACTGTTCGTTTTGTTTCTCCTGAAGGCAAGTAAATATTCAACGTTCTGAGCAAGGTTGTTTCTCTTCTATGCTATCTAGGTCTCCAGATCACACTAAATTTGTGGGAAGTTTCAAAACCAAACAAGACTTCATAGATTTGATTGAAGTAATTTATCGAGGAGCAATGAGGGGAAAACTTATTGTCCAAAGTCCAATTGATCCCAAGAATATTCCCAAATATGACCTTCTCTATCAAGACATTTAGCACATTAACTACTGTCAAAGCTGGAGAGAAAGGCCATCTGGAACCGGTACCCGAAGGCAGCTGTGCTGTTTTCTGGAGTCCTTCGGAAAGGTGCTCAGCGTCCCAGCAGAGAGAGGTTGGACTTGTATGGGCAATACTGGCCGGAGGGAAGACCCCGCAGGGACTGTGACGACCTGGGAAGCCTAAGTGTTTATTCCTCTCAGACCTCAGAGCAGTCAACTGTGATCCACTTCCCTGCATGATTCGTTTGACTTTTCTTTATACTGTGCTTTTCTTTATCTCTTAACATAATACAGAATTTTCCTAAACATTGGCTACTACAATTTGATTTAACTATATTTATTTGGCACACAAGTAAAATGAGAGAATACGAGGTAAGGACTCAACTATGAAGTAAAATGAGAGAATACGAGGTAAGGACTCAACTATGAAGAGCAAAAATATTTATTTTCTACTCTATATGTACATATATCTTCTCACCTTCAACCTTGCCCATTCCCTGTCTCACATATTTCTATTACTCATGCTCTCTGATCTCCAGTCCTAATTGTCCCAGTTTCTCTTGGAATGAATAATTCTCCACTGATAGCAGACAAATTTCTTTTATTTTGGAGCCTTCCTGGTTCACACTTTGAAAACAGTGACCTGGTTTGCAAATTTACTAGCTTTGCAAATTTACTAGCTTTGTGCTATTAAATTGCCCAGGAAGTGAGACTTGAACCTTTACTATTTAGTATCCAATTAACTAAAAAATTAACTACCTTTAATAAGAAGAAACAGAGCTCTCCCAGAAGTCAGAGTTCAACCTCTTCCTGAGACAAAACTGCTTCAAGGGCTCATGACTAGAAAGAGAGAGATAATCAATTTTTAGAAAGTGTAAGGACTGCTTTTTCCATTTGGAAGAAACCTACCATCCACAGGAGTCAATGCATTGTTGTGGTATTTAGCTGGTTAATACTCATAAAGGAAGAGAGCCAAAGGGAAGCCAGACATCGGAAGCATGGTCATCTGGGTAGCTTCACCAGGAAGCTACAGCTTCACGCTCGCTCCCCGGGAACCACCAGCCCATTCCCTGCAGATACAGGGGGAAAGGATCAAACGAAGAGGGAGATGGGCGCCTGTGCAGTGACGTAGGGGAGGTGCTTATCAGTCAGTCTGCCTGGGGAACAATGGATTGGCTAGTCCGGTGGAACCACCACAAGTGCTCGAAATCTGGGAAGGTTAAAATGCCCACAGAGTTCTTTCCCGCTTGCTTGCTCTCTTGCTCCATGACCCACGCTTACCCGTGCCTTCGCCTGTTCTCTCTCCGTTGCCATGTGGCCTTCAGCAGCTGTGTGGCCCCTGGCTATGCAGACTTCGCACAAAGGGGACCACAGCTAGGAGCACAAGCTAAGCAAGCCAGATGCTGGCCTGGACTTTCCTAAGGAGCAGAAACTGTGGTCAGTGGCCTTAATTCTGGCCCTGCTGAAGGCAAGATCGGACTTCTTCCATGGCAAGACGGACAGAGATGGGGCCTTGGAGGAGACCTCCTTAATTTTACAGTATCAGCTTGCCACGAAACCTCACCCTCCAGAGGGGGCCTCGGGAAATGTTTCCCTCGCAGCACCCCGAGAACAACTCTTCCACTGAAACAAGCGCAAGCCGCCTGAGCTTCCTGTTTCACAAAGAAATGCTCTGCAGGGCCTCCCAGAAGGAACATTCCAGAACCCTTTCAGACAGGAAGCTCTTTCTCTAACTGAACTCTTTTCTCTAGAAACCTGGAGTACATCGCCCACCCGCCGTGGCTCTGTGGTTGAACGTCGACTAGGAGGTCACGGTTTGATTCCTGGTCAGGACAAATAAATCACCAGGTTTTGAGCCTGATCCCCAGTGCGGTGGGCATGCAGGAAGCAGCCGATAAATGATTCTTTCATCATTGATGTTTCTGTCTCTCCCTTCCTCTCTGAAATCAATAAAAATATATTTTTTTTTTTAAAAAAAAGAGGATGCAACAAGGAGCTCAGGGTTTGTATTCAGACACACCTAGATTCAAGATCTAGCCTCACTACTTAGTAGCTGCGTAATCTCAACAAATCACTTAACTCCTCAGAGTCTCTGTTCCCTGTCTGTAAAACCAGGGTAAGGATGACCTTCCTGAGAGCCGCCTCGGCAGGCACTCAGCGAGTGTGACCCGGCAGTGGGACAGTTTGTACCACCATAGGGCTGTCCCGTCGGCCTGCAGTGTTTTCTGACGCTCCCTGTACACGCTGTGCCACTTGGCGGCTGCTGTACCATAAAGGAGAGGATAAACGGGTCTAAGCACTCCCCTCCCCCCCAAAAAAAAAAAAAAATACACCACAGAAATGAGTGAAAAGAAAGCTCTTTATTGTTCGACTTAGACACGCAGGGCTGGAGCCCATCGGTTTCACACCAGCGTTTGTCCCTCCACCCCCACCCAGTTTTCCCTCTCCCGGAGTGAGATCTAGCTCGCACTAGTTGTCGGCCATGGTTTTCCGAACCCAGTCCAGGATGGAGAGCACCCTCACGTACACGCCATACTCGGCCACGCTACAGCTCTTGTCAAAGCTCAGGATCCCCGCCGCATACCACGTGTCGTCATCCGTGTCGTGGACAGCGAAGGCGCTGCCCGCATCCCCAAAGCACGTGTCTTCCTCGTACTTGGACAGGCCGACGCAGAAGGTGTGCTCGTTCAGGATGGGCTGCACGCCCACCGGGCTCTTGGGCTTCTTCTTCTCCGGCACCGTGCTGTTCTCGTAGTGCCGCACACAGCTGTCCTGGTCGGCCACGGGCAGCATGACGTACTTCAGGAGCTGGGTGAAGCTGAAGTTGGAGTTCCGCCCCCAGCCAGACACATAGCCCATACGATTCACTTGCGCGTAATCTTTGGAAGGTAGGCAGATGGGCATTACTTTCTCGTTAACGGGCACCTTCTGCTTGAGCTTGATGAGCCCGATGTCGACCTCGAGGTAGTTAGGGTGGAGAATCACCGTCTCAACCTCCACACGCTGCCGCTTCCCCACATAGAGTTTTAAAGTAGGGGCGATGTCTTTTGCTTTAGCATCTTTCGTATGGCCCAGGAAGAGGTTCTTAGCCGTGGTCAGCAGCCACTGTTCACCGATGAGTGTGGCCCCCGAGGTGAGGTTATGATGCGAAATCATCTTGGCCTGCCAGGGAAAGCTGTCTTTGGCATCCACCGAGCCACCCAGGATCCGCTGGACCTGATCCACTGGGTTCTTGGGCTTTCCGCACACTGTCAAGGAGAGCAAGGAAGTCAGGACGAGAAATGCGAGACTTCCCCGGCCGGGAGGGGGCCTAAAAGCTTCGGCTCTGGCTGCTGTCTAAACGATCACTGTCCACCTTTTCCAAGCCAGGAATATTTACAGGCGTTGCTTTACCCCCTGCCCTCTTGTTTCCAGTGTTTGCTGTCAGTTGTTTCTATAACTAAGGCAGACTTCCATTTCCTGCCTTCCTAACTCACCAAAGAAACAACGCCGAGATTGAGAAACCCGGCTGATGAGCTGTATGTATATTCAACAGTTTGTCGCAACAAGGACATGTCCACAATTCCTTGAAACCCATTATAACTCATTCTCTCTGAATAAAGAGGGGTCTAATGTAGCAATGGCCACAACTCAGGTTTTACAGATACTGCAGTTAATACCAGGCAGGTCAGCAGTTCCACACCACTAATAGCAGGAGAGGGTAGGCAAAGCCCTCCTGTTGCGAGAGGGAAAAAGAAAGCAGTAGCTCTTCCTAATAACAGAAACAGAAGTCCAGCCTTCTGTCATCCTCCCCTGGATTGGGGTGAGTTATGTCCTCCCTGATAGTTCTTCCTGGAGCTGGCTCTACCCTGGGACCCTGGCTCTCTGGGTGGGTTGTCTGTACACATAGGGTCTCCGGACCCCCTGGGGGCAGTGGATTCCATCAGTGCCCTGCAGGCCTGAATAAGCCAGAACCTCGGTGAACTTTTTAAGGGAATCGTCGCCTAACTGCTCAGTTCTCTGCCAGCCATTGGTGGTTCTCCCTGGCCCCAGGTCTTGCTCAGGAGAAGCCACACAAGAGGGACATGTGCCTCTAGGACATTCCAACCAATAGCCCTGCCCAACCACTGAACCCTCAACGCCTATCCTTGGTCTGCTTCGCAGGCCCTCGGCTTCCTACCTGCTTCGCATTCAGGAAGCTTCTCTCCAGTGGCCTTGTTTGTCCACTTCTTCTCGCTGTTTAAGGTGTACACTCCTGAAACAAAAGGAAAGAAATGAGTCCAAAGAGAAACTCAGACTGGCTCGAGAGAGAAGGTATTTAGAGAGAAAAATGAGAGAAGGAGAAGGAAGATGAGAGATGGGGCAGGGGAGAGCGGGAAGGGAGGAGCACTGTCCTGGAAGCCAAATGCTGGGTCCTCTCGAAGCCCAGCAGGACAGAACCGTGGTCATGGAGAGGCAGGGCAGGTGGGGTCAGGGTCCAAATCCTGCCCCTACCTCTTGCAGGCTACCTGACCTCTCTGTGCCTCAAGTTTCCCCATCAGCAAGTAATAATAATATTATCTTCGTAGAGGGTGCTACAAAGACTAAGTGAGCAAATAAATGTAAAGCACAACAGTGCCAGGAAGGTGAGGACATCAATGTAATCACCGTCACCATTGTTTGTTCCCACATCCTTTTGCCAGATCTAGATGTAGCTCACTCTGACATGGGTAGGTTATGTGGCATCCCCTCCCCTTAACAAAAGACAAAACATGAGGCTGAGCAAAGTTCATTTGCCCAAAAGGCCACAGCACTGGGAACAAAACACCTAATTAGAATCTACATCTCCCGGCTCCGAGGATAACACATGCATTTCCTAGCCAGTCACCCCTGACTCCATTCACCATGGAAATGCCGGGATGGGGAGGGCACGGGGACACTTGTGCAGTTCTTACCATCTCCCTCGGTGCGCAGTCTGTAGTAGTTGCTCTTACAATGGTAGCGAACCGAGTGCTCCACGTAGCCATTTGCAATCTCAGGGGCCTTTGGGCAGCCGTCGTCTGCAAAGGGAAACAGGAAGAGGAGGTTAGTGTTCAAAAATTGCTCTCAGAGACCCATGAAACGTCAGACGAGAGGAAGCTGCTCTGTACGTCTACTTTCCGCCATCCCAAATGGAAGCCATGCCGTGGGCATTCTCTCTTTATCTCTGGCTGCCTCCCCAGGGTTTTTAACTAGTGAAAGACCAGCGATCAGGATGAGAAGAAGGTATCTGGGTCTCCTGAAGAAAGGGTGCAGATCCTACGGGGTCAGCCACAGCAATGCTGGGGTGTACAGCGCCCGCCCACACCCAAAGACCTACCTGTGCTCTCATCGACAGTGTCCACTGCAAAAAACTGCCCCCAGAGCAGGAGGGTGACAACAGTTACCAGGGCGCTGCAGAGAGAAGACAGGAGGAGGTCAAAGCTGCTCTCCCTGCTTCACAACCTCCCCACACACACACACCCCTCCCTCCCTTTAGGCAGCCAGAAAATAAAATAACCATATGCAAGCACTGGGACCCACCAAATACATGCTTTACAGTTTCCCAGTATCCCAGCGGAGGGCTTGCTGGGAATTCTCCATAAGCCTCAGAGAGGAACCACCAAGACAGAAAGGCACACAGGCGTGTGGGCAGCGATCCCAGGCAGCATTCAGAAGCATTAACCTAGCGGTGACGCGTGAGCTCTCCCGCAAAGGGAAGCTTCCCTCGGGCACCTCTAGAGTACCAGGCTACGAGGACGCTGCGGATAGAATGTGGACCGCGAACACAGGAACGTGGGCATTGACTATGCCATTCTCTACTTTTCAAAATTTCCCATAAGGAAAGTTGTTTGTTTGTTTTTTAAATATATTTTATTGATTTTTTTTTTTTTTCAGAGAGTAAGGGAAAAGGATAAAGAGCTAGAAACATCCATGAGAGAAACATCGACCAGCTGCCTCCTGCACACCCCCTACTGGGGATGTGCCCGCAACCAGTGTACGTGCCCAAGACTGGAATCGAATTTGGGACCTTTCAGTCCACAGACCGACGCTCTATCCACTGAGCCAAACCGGTTTCGGCAAGGAAAGGTTTTTTTAAGTATTTCATTTAAAATACTTATGTGGTGTGTGTCTTATTTTATGATCATTTGTCTTCATGAAATAATATCGCTAATCCCAAAATGGTGGCAGGTTCCCTAGAGCAGAGCTGGCTCCCGAAAGCATGATCGGACACGGGCCCAGATACACAGGCCACACCTGCTCGTTGTTCATCTCACTGACAGATGTCAGCTCCTCAGGGATTATTTGCTTACGTTTCTAGTCTGGCTACTTCAACATTTCCAAAATCTTTTTATGTTTATAAAATCAAAGTGCCTTAATTCTGTCATCCAAATAATGCCACTATTGGTCTTCCTTATTATGCATTTTTAAGGGGAAAAATATCTACTAATAAATACATTTAAAATGCCAGCTTCTGTCCTGTCCTACAAAGATGAAAACTTTACTACCTCTGCCCTACGTGTTTGTTTTTTTTCAGTGGTTAGAGCATTGCTTGTGGACCGAAGGGTCTCAGGTTTGATTCCGGTCAAGGGCACATACCTTTGTTGTAGGTTTAATCCCTGGCTCCAGTTGGGGCACATGCAGGAGGCAACCAATCGATATGTTTCTCTCTCTGTCTCCCCTTTCCTTCCACTCTCTCAAGAAAAATCAGTGGAGCCGAAACCGGTTTGGCTCAATGGATAGAGCGTCGGCTTGGGGACTGAAGGGACCCGGGTTCGGTTCCGGTCAAGGGCATGTACCTTGGTTGCGGGCATATCCCCAGTAGGGGGTGTGCAAGAGGCAGCTGATCGATGACTCTCTCTCATCGATGTTTCTGACTCTATCTCTCTCTCCCTTCCTCTCTGTACAAAATCAATAAAATATATTTTTTTAAAAATCAGTGGAAAAAAATATCCTTGTTGTGAGGATTAACAACAACAACAAAATAACAATAAACAACTTTACAACCTCAAGAAAAAATAGATTTCTTAACGTAAATCACGTCTCCCAGAAAAGACGGCAGTATCAGAAGGCATTACCTCTTATGGGTGCAAAAAAGCAGAGGACTTAACACACTGCACCCTTCAGATCACTATAACTTAGCCCATTTTCCCTATTTCTTCATTGCATTTTTGCATCTGTTCTGTAGGCTTGTCATGCAGCTAAGAGGTGTATGCAAAAGAGGATGAGATGAGGAACAAGAAGGGAAGGAAAGGGGGCAGAGCTATGGACTCACCGCATCTTGGGTTGTCCTGCCTCTGGAAGAGCAGTGCTGTGGGGCGCAGCTGCTGGTGCTTTTATACCTGTAATATCTCACCCCACCCCTTTTCCATTTTGTAACGCTGTGTCTACACAGGTTCGACATTGCTAAGGTCACTGGCGCTTTCCCGTAACAGGGCCACAAACATCCCCGTTAAGAGTCGAGCTCTTGCCTCACGCTTGAGTTTCCCCTGGTGTTCTTTTACAAACCCCACAGAAACCTGGTCCCACTGTGACCCCAGGTAGCTGCCAAAGCGTTTCCCGATACCGGCCGCTGGGCAGGGCTGGGGGAACAATCAATCTGAACCTCTTTGTTGTGGACGATAGTCAGCACTGGAAAAAGCCCTTGGTTGTTGGGTTATTTCAAACCCCTTCTGAACACTCCTGCATCCGGGCTGAGAGGGGGCTCTCCATAAGGCACTTCCCTTTCACAGGTCTTGCCCCCATCCTGTGTTGACATCTCCCTATTGCTTAAAAGCTCTCCAACCTGAAATCAATGAAATGTATTTATTGTCCTCTCTGATTGCTGGTTGCAAGAAAACACACAAAACAGTTACGCTATAGTGTGGACTGGCACAAACCACACTCAGTGGCAGTGGTTCTTATGGTTTTATAGTCCAGTAATTAAGACACGTATTCAACTGAAATTAATAGCAATTCAATAAAAGATTGCTTTATTCAATAAAGAAAGATAAGTGGGCCCTGGTTGGGTTGCTCGGTTGGTTGGAACATAGTTCCATACATCAAAAGGTTGTGGGTTCAATTCCTGATAAGGGCACATACCTAGGTTGCAGGTTCGATCCCCAGTTGGAGCGCATACGGAAGGCAAGCAATGGATTGATATTTTTGTCTCTCTCTCTCTCTCTCTAAAAATCAATGAAAACATATCACAGATGGGAGTTAGGGGGTGGGGGGTGGTAAATGGTTCTTAAATTAGGGTGTATTAATACAAAAGCATCATTTTGGGATATTCATGGTGACACTAAGGTAATATCAAAATAATTAGAAACAGTCCTAGCTGCTTTTGGCTCAGTGGATAAGAGCGTTGGTCCCAGGTTCTATTCCAGTCAAGGGCACATGCCTGGGTTTCAGGATCGATTCCCAGTAGGGGGCATGCAGGAGGCAGCCGATCAATGATTCTCATCATTAATGTTTCTATCTCCCTCTCCCCTCCTCTCTGAAATCAATAAAAATATATTTTAAAAATAATAATAATAACTAGAAACCTCACAAATGTCCATTAATAAATGAATGGGTAAATTATGAGTGGTGTATTCCTATAATTGAATATTATACAGCCATGAAAAATGAACGAATTATGAAAGAACCTGGATAATCTCATAAACATAAATTTGAAAGAATACTGCAAATTTCAGAAGATATTTAGAATGACTCCACTGTTGCAGAGCTCAGAGTCGAACAAAATTTGGCAATGGATTATTAGATAAGACACCAAAATTACAACATAAGAAAAAATGGCAAGTTGAGCTCATCAAAATTAAGAACTTTTATGCATGAAAGTACAATATCAGGAAAGTGAAAAGACAGTCTGTGAATGGGAGAAAATATTTGCAAATCATATATCTAATAAGGATTAACATAAAGGATTTCTGCAACATGGACAAATTATTTGAATAGACACTTTGCCCAAGAAGATGTACAAATGGCCAATGAGAACATGACAAGATGCTGAACATCACTGGAAGGTGTCATTAGGGAAATGCAAATCAAAACCACAACGAGATACCATTTCACACCTACTAGAATGGCTACAATTTTTTAATAAGTGTTGGCAACATTGTGGAAAAAGTGGAATTCTGATACACCTAAATGGTATAGTTTCCGTGAAAAACACTTAAATGGTTCCTCAAAAACACTAAACATAGCCCAGCCAGCACAATTCAGTGGTTGAGGGTAAACCTATGAACCAGGAGGTTGTGGTTCGATTCCTGGTCAGGGTACATGCCCAGATGGCGGGCTCGAACCCCAGAGTGGGGCAAGCAGGAGACTGCCTATCAATGACTCTCTCTCTCATCATTAATGTTTCTTCTTTTTTTAAAATATTGTTGGACGTATTACAAATGTCCCTTTCTCCCCCCCCCTCCTCCCCAATCAATCCCTTCCAGTCTACCCCAGGCCCACACCACCCCACTGTCTGTATCCATGGAGTCTGCATTTATGCATACAAGGTCTTGGGTTAATTACCTCCCACCCACCCACCGTCCCTGCCTTCCCTCCGAGATTCCACACTCCGTTCCATGCTCATTGATGTTTCCATCTCCCCCTCTCCCTTCCTCTCTGAGATCAATAAAAATACTTTTTAAAAATAAATAGTCAAAACCGGTTTGGCTCAATGGATAGAGTGTTGGCATGCGCACTGAAAGGTCCCAGGTTTGATTCCGGTCAAGAGTATGTACCTTGGTTGAGGGCACATCCCCAGGAGGGGGTGTGCAGGAGGCAGCTGAATTGATGTTTCTCTCTCATCGATGTTTCAAACTCACTCTCCCTCTCTCCCTTCCTCTCAATAAAATATATATATATTTTTTTAAAATAAAAATAAAGAAAACACACATAGAATTGCCATACAACCCAGCAATTCTACTTCTGTAAATATACCCAAAATAATTGAAAACAGAGACTCAGACAGACCATTGTATACCAATGTTCATTGTGGCATGATTCATAAAAGCCAAAAGGCAGAAAGAAATCCAAGTGTTCTTCAACAAATGGAGGGATATAGAGAGTGTGTCATATACATACAGTGGAATATTATTCACCTATAAAAAGCAATGTAGCCCAGCTGCTAAGGCTCAGTGGTTGAGTGTCAACATATGACCCAGGAGGTCACAGTTGGATTCCCAGTCAGGACACATGCCCAGGGTGTGGGCTTCGTCCCCAGTGGGGAGCGTGCAGGAGGTAGCCGATCAATTATTCTCTCTCATCATCTCTCTCTCACCATTCCTATCTCTGAAATCAATCCTATATAATAAAAGGGTAATATGCAAATGGACCGAACAGCAGAATGACTGGTCGTTATGATGCACACTGACCACCAGGGGGCAGATGCTCAACGCAGGAGCTGCCACCTGGTGGTCAGTGCACCCGCACAGAGGGAGCGCCGTTCAGCAACAATCCAGTCTGATGGCTGACGATCGCAGTGGCAGTGGCAGTGGTGGGAGCCTGTCCCGACCCCGCAGCAGCGCTAAGGATGTTCCCCGAGGGCTCCCAGACTGCAAAAGGGCACAGGCCAGACCTCCCTCCTACTCTCGAGTGCACAAATTTTGTGCACCGGGCCTGTAGTAAAAATATTTTTTTATTTTTAAAAATAAAAAGAAACGCAGTTCTGGTACATGCTACCACATGAATAAATCTTGAAAACATTATGCCAAGTGAGAGAAGAAAGTAGACACAAGAAGACAAATATTGTATGATTCCATTTATATGAAATATCTAGAAAAGGCAAATTCATAGAGACACAAAGTAAATAGGCTAGCTACCAGGGGCTGTGGGGAGGAAGGAGTGGGGGATTGTTGCTTAATAGGTACAAAGTTTCTGTTTGGGCTGATGGAAAGGGTTTGCAAACAGTGGCCATGGTTGCACAACATTGTGAATGTAATTAATGCCACTGGATTATACACTTAAGCATTGTTAGATCAGGAATTTTACAGTATTTTTTTAATCATTTTGCAACATTTACAAATGTCTAAACACTATGATGTACATATGAAACTAATACAATATTGTATGTCAGTTATGCTTCAATTAAAAATAGATTCTTTTTTTTTTAAATATATTTTATTGATTTTTCACAGAGAGGAAAAGAGAGGGATAGAGAGCCAGAAACATCGATGAGAGACTCATCGATCAGCTGCCTCCTGCACACTCCCCACCGGAGATGTGCCGGGAACCAAGGTACATGCCCTTGACCAGAATTGAACCTGGGACCCACCAGTCCGCAGGCCGACGCTCTATCCACTGAGCCAAACCAGTCTCGGCAATAAATAGATTCTTGAAAGTAGCATCAACCCTGATACTCTATCAATGAGGAACTTCCAACTTACAAGCTTTTAAATCAAATAGTATCCTCAGCCCTAGCCAGTTTGGCTCAGTGGATAGAGTGTCAGTCTTCGGACTCAAGGGTCCCAGGTTCGATTCCGGTCAAGGGCACGTGCCTTGGTTGCGGGCACATCCCCTGTAGGGGTATGCAAGAGGCAGCTGGTCAATGTTTCTCTCTTATCGATGTTTCTGACTATTCTTCTCTCTTCCTCTCTGTAAAAAATCAATAATATATTTAAAAAAAAAAAAAAAAAAACCACAAATAGTATCCTAAGATCAGCTTTCTAGCAATAGAGACAGCCAGCCAGTGGCAAACCCACATGGTCAATTAAAATTGTAAATACAACCTTCCTTTCCCAGTATGAAATTCATCAGAAAGCAAAGGTGTGAGGATATTAATATAAGCTTTAAAATTAAATCTGTATTCACAAGCATTCATATCAACACTCCTCGGTTCTTCAACCTGCATTTTTGGAGCAAACATTCTTCTTGTTCCCGGAAGACAGGGTAGGGGGCCATGTTGGCATTCGCTTATTCACCTTTATCGCTACGCCCAGCAGAGCCTGGCACACACAGCTTACTGACGTGAACGGATGACAGGCATGGCCTCTGTCCCCAGAGAACTCAGAGGTGAGGGAAAGGTGAATACTGCAACCGAGCTCGCTGCTCGGTCACATCGCCTCCAGCCGCAGTCACCATCAGGGCCTCAGAGGCGGAAAGGCTGTCAGAGGAGCCCGCCCTACAAGCGCCTCAGAACAGGTGCTCACCCCACAGTGATGACAGCTCACACTGTGCGAGCTCTTAGTATTTGGTGCCGGAATGCGGTGTGTGCTTTCTGCGTTTTTATTCATTTAATTCTTCAACATCCCTGAAGCAGTATATCCTTCTATTACCTAATAACTCTATTTTCACAAATGGGCATGGAG